ATTGTGGGTGGGAGGGTGGGCTGACTCCTTCTCCTTTGGCCTCAAATGCTCTCCCACAGTGACCTCTGACCCCTTGAATTAGCAAGGGTCTTAAGAGTAGCCCATCATTGGCTCATTGATGGACCAAGCGAGATTGATGGCTCTTTTGTGGTCCCTGTTTTACGCACACATATAGTTATCATGATCATTGGGCACGCATGCCATGTTTGCTAGAAACTAATGAGACTGGATTTTCAGATTCTCTAACTGTTTGCAAATGTTGCATCAGTTGAGTCTCGTCTTTACCCATTACTTGAGAAATCACTTTATAGGGGGATGACCAGCATTTCAGTTTTGGGCAAATCCACTTTGAGCTCTTTCAATTCAAATCAAATTTAAGGGAGTGAGTTCAAGCTTTCATTCTCTGTGGCTTAACAGCTGGACTTGCACTAGTTTTAACGTGCAGTTACTACTACTGTTACCACTGCTGTCAATCACTACAACTGCTACTTCTGTTACTTCGTCTTGTAGTCTAGTATGTCAAAATGTAGTTATGTTCACAAAAGAAATTCAGTGTGTTTTAATATAATTTGCATGCTAAACTGCCCTCAGTTTGGTCTGTTGAAGGTCACATTATTTGTAAAATGTTGTATTTAAAATAAAAAATTAAAATAATGCTTTGCTGCATTTTTCACCTTGTGGAAAAAGCTTGATTGAGCATTGGTTCTAACAAGCTTGAGTATAATTTGGTGGACTATGAGTCACATCCCGAAATGACTCATTGACAACGGAGATGGAGCCAGAAGGTGTCAGAGGATGGAAGATATAGAAACTTTGTTACAGCAACAAAACACAGAAAAGGAGATTGTATGTTATTTTACTAAACCATCAAGGAGGAACAGAGATGTTAGTGTCTAGTGTTATTCAAGATATTGGTGGTTGGGTGAGGAGATTAAAGTTTTTCTCCTAGGTCTGAATAGTGTAGCCAGCGCTGTTACGTCTGGAGCTGGGCATAGAAAAGTGCCTCATTATTCTTGTGACCAGCTGACTGGTGGGGAAACAGGAAACTCAGAAACAAACACTCCTTATTTTTAGAACTCCTCCTACATGTTATTTTGGCTCAGGACAATCGTATCAATCGCTACCAAAGCCAGAATGTAAAGAGCTGACCTGGAAAGTCGGGCCAGTCAGAATGGAGGTGCTCTTGAAGCTAGGCCAAGGCGTCTAGCAGGGGAAATGGATACATTCTTTGGTTCAAAGCTGTATCATCAAACATTCCCATTTTTTAATGAAACAGATTCATACTCTATACCTGACATCATTACAACTATAGGGTGTCTTAATCAGGCTACAAAGAACTGTCAGAAATAATAATTGACACTTCACAGGGCAAAAAAAGAAGGATTTTCTGCTCCAGTTGGAAAATTCTTTTTGTTTCTTTTTCTGCCTGTATCCATTTCTATTTAGTGGTCAGAGACTTTTCATGAGAGGAGGAGGAAGTGTGTGTGTGTGTGTGTGTGTGTGTGTATGTGTGTAACGTAAAAAAAGCATGGGATATTTTTTTTCTTTACACTGACCAGAGCAAACCCCACAGTAACCCTAGCGGGCTAATAATACGGCTCCCATCCATCACCACAGACAACAACCAATTAGCACATTCCTCTTCCCCCCTTTTCTCATGTTCTTGGTTAACCCCTGAATCATTTTGGATCATTCATCAAAAAACCAGAAATACTTTCAAGTTGCCATATCTGAGTGTGAACGTACGTGCACGTAAGTGTCTTTGTGCGTGAGGGATCGAAGGAATGTTTATTGTGGAGTGATTTTTATTTTCCTGTGAGGCTACGTGGAGACAGAGGCCGGTGTTGATGTTCCCACAGTCCAATACTCCATTCATATCGATGTGGCTCATACCAATGTCTATGTGAATGGGTCGACACGTACCAACCAAAACTCTTTTGTGAGCGTCCTCCTGACCCAGGTTTAGTTGCAGAAAACAAGTGTGTGTATGGACAGACGTCAAAATGAAACTTATAATAACGTGTAGTAGCTATGTAATGTAATAGTGTATATAGCAGTGAAATATGTTAAACTGTACTGCAGACTGTCGTCTCTGCTAATAGTGACAGTGATTTCCCCATGACAGCTGTCTCACCAGACTGGGTCCAATGCAGGTTAAATGGTTTCTTTCAAAGCTAACTAAAGTACACTTCACACAAGTTTCTGACAACTGAGCTGAGACTTACTATCAGAAACTAAAACATCCACCAGTAAGGAGAGTATTTCAACACTGCTACTTGTCAGTGAATTTTACCATTGTGAATTACTATGCAGTTAAATTCAACCAAATCAAACATGCTGAAACTTTCCAATAAATCCAAGAAAAGATAATATTGTTTCAAGCTTATTTTTCTTTATTTTTACAGTTTACAATTAATGTGCTGTCGGAAAGTTAAGTCCAAATAGACTATTGTCACCCCTCACTACACAGAAAGCTCATATAGCTCTCATAAATCCTACAAATGCTTGTAAAAGCTGCCATCTCCCCTTTAACATGAATTAACTGCCTATTGAAAATAATGTCTTAAGTATGACTGTGGTCTTTTATTGACAAATTGAATTTAGCTTGCAAATGTGCAAAATTGGTTCTTCCTGGGAAATTAATGCAATTATAAAAATCATTGCCTACTTAAGCTTACAAATCTATCATCCGTTTATGTATTATTGAGCTTGTATAAAGGTTCATAGTTTTTCAATGATCATTTACCCGCATTCTGTAGTAATCTAATGTTATCCTGCAATTTCCTTCCTCACACCAAAGCTGAGCAGACCACATTAAATCCAGCTCAGCACCAGGGTCATGAAGCCAGATAGGAACGTGTGTTGACCCATTCATACCAACAACAAACACAGGTTTATCCTTGGTTCCTGCTTTGGGGTATCAGTCTATCAGCCTGACAGCCAGCCAGCCAGTTAGTCCTGTGGTTTGCTGTATTCTCTTCCTGAGGCCACCCACAGCTCTGCGGCCTGGCCGACACTGGTCTGAGGAGGGTAGGATCACACCATCTGACCTTCTACCTCGCTGGATTACACAGAAATCCCCTCTCACGCTGTCACAGCCTCGCCTCTGACACACACACATATGCGCACACACACTCTATGAACACACCAGCATTTATACAATAAACGCAGTCAATTCCAAGGAGGCATTTTATAAAGTTAATTATTAAGGTTTATCATCACCTATGGTAACGCCGTTAATATGGTCTGTCTCAGCAGAGTCTGTGTGCATTTTGTTTTTGATGCAATAGAAAACTTTGAAATGGAGCGAGGCCAGGGGTGTATCTGTGTGTATATGTTTGACTACGTGTGTGTACGTATGTGTGCATGTATATGAGTTTGTCAGCCCGTGAGTAATGGTTTTTTCGGCCAGATGACTGTAATGCCACATGGATACCTGAGCCAGACTTTTCCATAGTGAAGCCCGGGGGATCACATGTCCCTCCAGTCTCTGTGGTATGCACTAACAGACAGAGCTGCCAGGAAAGGGGGGCCCGGGTGAAAACAGTCCGGGATAAAAACAAGCCGCTGAACGTATCGCTGCAACGATAGCACGCCACCGAAATAGCCCTACTACCATCCCTCTTTCTCAGAATTCCCTGCAGAGCCGGCGGCAGCGATTTAGATACTTCTTTCATAGTTTCAATTCTGACTGCCAGCCTTATGCTCAGTTTGTTTCAGTCCTGCAATTACCATCCTCTTAAACTTTCCACTGCTGTTTAAGCTCAGCGCACAGTTGTCCAACGTTGTTCATATATAGATATATAAACGCTGTAATTTTGATTCGGGCATGTCACTCTGCGTTGGAAAGCTGTGCTGTGGATTTGCACCGTTAAAGATGTTTGTTTTTATGTGACAAAAATATGATGCTTCTCCATTATATGACTTGAAACAGTGATATATGTGTCTTGTTCTGTTTTTTTTTTCTCTCCAGGACTCCATGGACGAAGCATGTGCAGAGGGGATTGGTGATGAACACTACCGTTTAGAAGGTAGGCCCCCTGCTCTTCATCATCATTGCCAGCTCATTTCACTGATTTTGCTCCCCTTCATTATTTTAATTTGAATGAAAACCTGCAAAAACACCATTCGCAACTGCCCTCCAGGTACTTGTGTGGTTCTGTTTTGCAGCCATTCATCCTTTCCCCTCTGCTCCACACCCGTTCTCTAAGCCCCAACAATGTGCTGATGAGGTCCCCTTTACCTTCCCTCTCGCCTATCCACCTTCTCAGTCTCTCATCCGCCCCTCCCCCCTGTGGTGCTCTGCAAAGTGCCTCCTTTCCTCTGTGTTTTTTCTCTGATGTGATGTGATCCTGGATTAAGAGCTCCGGGAGTAAAAAGTCTCTTCCTCCCTCCCATTTAAAAGGCAGAATTGGACATGAGGTGGAGGCAGAAATGAAGAGCTGAACAAAAACCAGCCCAGAATTTGGAAGCATGGCAGCGAATTCACTTTTATTTCAACTCTGCTTCACTGGATAATGTACAAAGTAGAGAGACAAGAGATAACACGACTGATGAATGGAGTATGAAATGATTTTTAATCATTGGGCTGAACCTGAGTCTGGGTTGAGGTTGTCCTCCCTTTAAGACCGATGTTCTTAATTAGAACAGGCTGCTCTGTTCATTCTCAATGATTAAAAGGTGAAGGCCTAAGTAATTTGTTTCAATAAAACATTCCATAGATTGTGTGAATATTTCCATAATACAAATTATATTTTTCACTTTCAAGTTTCTAAAGTAAACTGAATAACTGACAGCCAGCAACGTCTGTGGGTGGAGAAGTATATTGGGGCCTCAGTCAGAAAGAATGGGAAAGTTTTGCTACCTTACTTTGCAGTTTGGAGCATTGTTGAGTGGAGTTGAATTTAATCGTCAGTTTTTGTTTCAAGCTTCACACTTTAGAAAATGGCGTCAGAGTTTGGACTAAGCTTTCGTCCAGAAAAATGATTTGCAGCTACTTTGTTAATGTCCTCCAATAAAAACAATTGATTGAAACAGCTCTTTATTTTAGTTTGGAATAAATTGTCCCGATGTTCGAATAGCAAACCATTTTGTACATCCTCAGGCACACTTAGACCCAAATAAAGACAGCTGTGGAGGATTCATGTCCACTGCATGACCTTCTTTTAGTGCAGTGATCAGACCCATTGTCCATACATCTTACAAGACATGTTAACTAAAAGATAAGAGAGAAATCAGTGAGAGCAGAGATCATAGGACAACCAACACACATATAAGCCTGCTTTCCTCTGGGTTTAAGGAAAAAAAGAACAAAAATGGCAAAGGAAGAAGAAGGCCTAAAAATAAAGGTTTTTTTACATCAGTACTGCAAGCATGCAAGAGGAAGAGTTTGCTGAAGAGGCTCAGGTTCATCAGCACCTTGTTTCAGATTAAATTACACTCTCTAGTGTTGGCCATGAAGTAGCTAAAGGAGACAGCTGGAGGATTAACTGCCTTGCTCATGAGTGCTTCAGTGGTTTCTCCTGAAGGAGGCGAAAAAGTTATGAGCACCACAAAGACATTCTCATCCTGGCCGTCCCAAAATCACCTTAGTACCCAGCACTGAGCTGTCCGAATAGGGTGGACAGACCCAGTTATGTGTAATACAGTAGCCTAGCTAAGCTGTGTGTGATTGCTCACAGTGTGTGGCAGCTTTCCCGACTGCCTTCATTTCTGCGTGTGTGTACGGGTGTGTGCACGCACTTGTGCGTGCGTGTGGCAGGGCTGCTGGAACAGGCTAGGTATGGAGGGTGCCTGCCTCGGCTGCCCTCGTCTTGCCCCTCAGATCTGATGTGCAGCCAATCCCCTGGCTCAGCTCCTCTCATAAAGAGCGGGCTTATGTCTGTGGTGGAGGGGGTTGTGGTGGGGGGGGTCAGGCGGGTAGGAGGGTGATAGCAGATTACTGTTACTCCTCCCGGCATTTCATTAGCTCCGAGATAAGCATCTCGCCACCATATTGAGCCTGCTACGGAACAGATTTGCCCTCGCACACAATGTTCCCTTTGAGCACCTCAGATGATCAAACAGCGGGACCCCAAATGCTGCTCCTCTCCAAAAAGTTGGTAAAAGCTCCCTGGGATGATGCCTTTCATTTTTGGCATTTTCCCCTACCCAGGGATGAGACAGGTCTGCTTTGATCTGCTTTGGATCAGGAGGAAAGAAATTGGGCTGTTGTGTCTGCTCCGTTGGCGAGCAAACAAACAGTGTTTCAGATTTGACTTGGCTTAATTAATTAGTGATTCTGTTTTTCAGCCGGTCTGATCTTCTTCCAAAAGGTTTGAGAATGGGACTTCAAAGTGCGGCGGGAGAAGAGGGGAGCAGGGGGAGGGTGGAGAGAGTGGGGTGTGGTTTATGGGGTGTGCGCGCTGCCTGCAGGACCATGATTGGATGAGGATGGGGCTGAAGCTCAAAACAAAATGACCAGAGGTGAAACACACAGAGACTGTAGCTGGGTAAAGGCTGTAACAAGCTTCTGTGAAAATACACATAAATAAATCTGAGGATGAAGTAAGGGGTGTCTGGGTACAAAAGAGCCGACATGCACACCTACAAAATCTCAGTTACATGTTGTGTGTATCTGCGGTCTCATGTGTCAAACAATGCTGGATTTCAAAGCGGAGAAGGATATCCGGTAGAATTACATCTGGGCCAGCATCCAACACTCTGAAAACTAAAACAACGAAAGCGGACAGGTGGACAGTTGTTATTTGTTGTCCGCCAGAGTGGACCACCGTAAAATATAGTGCAATGCAAAGATACACCAGCATTATCTGTGATGTGGAATTGACACAGTTGTAACAAATTCAGTCATGATTAAAGGCTACACAAATTTCCTATTGTCTTCTTAGATTTTGTCCACCCATTATGGTGTCTCACCCTATATTGAATAACTCACTGATTCATAACAGAGCAGGGTTGTGAAAACCCAGCGTTATTGCATTCAAAGTGTAGAACAGTCTACAGTATAGGAAATGTGTCAGACTCTACACGGGTCCTCAGCTTAAGTGCATATGACAGATCAGTAGTCCCTCATGACTGTCTGTCTTTACTGTATGTCTGGATGGTAATGTACGGTGAATGTCATCCATGAAATGATGAGCTCTGCTGCACTGAGCCGGGGACTCGGGGGTCTCCTATAGGCCTTTTCGAATACCACCTAATATTCTATCATGTTTTAGACATGTTAATGTCATTCAGTTTCATGTTTGACATCCTCCCTTCAACCCAGCGGGATATATACACTGTAGCCAAGAGCTTAAAAACTATTACTATAAGTGTGACTGATGGAACAGCTTTTGCCACCAGAGAATCACAGTCTGTCACAGTTTCAGTATTTTTCCTTTTTGCTTTGGATTGACATTTTGGATTCCAGTTCCTGTCTTGATATCACTGCTTTGGTTCAACATTACTTACTCTCTCTGGAATGATGCAATAATTGACTTAACCCTACAAGTTCAGAGCAGTTGAGCAGCCGAACCAAATTTAATTTTTGATTTCCAAGTTGCAACATTTAAAGTTAGTGATATTGCGTATGCATTACTTATTCTAAACACAACAGAGCCTGCTCTGCCTTAGAAAATATGGCATTACTAATGAATATGTTGATATGAATATAAAAACACAATTTCAGAATATAGGCAGTGAGACAAAAACCGTGAGGAGTTTGGCTGCGTAGGTTTATTTCCAACCAGGAGCACTTGAACGTGTGACACATCTTAATTGTGGATGCCAAACTCGGAAGTAGAAGCTTACAAGGAACACTTGAAGGCAACGACATATCCTCAGGTTATGACTGCACCCAACGTTTCCATCCTCAGGCTTTCTCTTTTATCTTTGTGTGTGTGTGTGTGTGTGTGTGTGTCACTGCAGTGGCTTTACCCCCAGAGAAGACAGACAGCTGCTGTGTGGAGGAGAAGATGCAGGAGAGGGACAGCCAATCTCCCGCAGGGCCGCAGAAACAGCTCCAGTTTGAAGTGAGTGTCAACACCGAACAGGACGTTTATTACTTCCCCTCTGGATGAAACTAGGGCAGTGAGGGGACACACACAAATACACAATCTCACACACACACTGGATGATACTGATAGTTCACTGCTGTGCTGTTTCAGGAGTTGGAGTGTGCTGTGTCTGTGGAGGAGGATAACAGGCAGGAGTGGACCTTCACCCTCTACGACTTTGACAACAACGGCAAAGTCACCAGAGAGGTAATAATCTTCTGCTCCGAGGAGTGATTAATCTGGAGGAATAGTACTGTACTTCCTTACTGTATTAATTACAGTAAATAGACAAACATCTGTCAACGCCACACAGTAACTGTAGTAGTATTTATTTAGGTGACTTTGTTGTGTTGTGTATATCATGTAATATCGGGCCTTGAAAACGCATTGCATTAGGAAAAATGAAACTATGAAACAAACATCTAAAAAACACAGCTATTAAGTGTCACAAAAATGTGGTTCAGCTACAAAACACCCTCCTTTTGGGTATGGGAATTAATCAGTAACCTTAAATTTTACCATATTCTGGCATCACCACACCCCCGAAACAAAGAAGTGAGGCTAGAAGTTATAAGCCTCTAACCCAACCTCGCTCCCAATAACCAAATCCAGCGACATCTGTGTGTTTCCGCTCCTGCGAGGTACCTTGTGGCTTGCGTCTGCCTGGTACAGATCTGAGAGAACATCCAGAAAGGCCCATGTTTTTTGAAAACAACTTGAAACAGCGCAAAGAGACTGGAGCTGTCCTCTGTGTGGTTGGCTGCGCAGTTTTTTTGGCATTGCCTGTGGCTCCATGGCTCATGAGACGTCAGGCGGCGGCTTGGAGGGGGAAAGAAAAGCTTTCTTCTCCAACTCTTTTTTTTTTTTTTCACACAAATAAAAAACAGAAGGAAACCAAAAATGACACAGGAAGCTTTTATTTTATTTCCTTTTTTTATTACTACTTTTTTCTTTACAGTGTGCCTATGTCTAAAACCAGTATGTGGAACTAGTCCCTGAAGAATTCATCATAGTGCTTTATGTTATGAGTCAGACTAGTGAGTGAGAATCATGCCGTTGGAGTCTTTTTGTGCCTTAATTCTCAGCAGTTTTGTCAAAGGCGCTTTTATGGTGAAGCTGTGTTACCTTCTAAAGTAAAACCCTAATGAGAATTGAGACACTGCGTGAGTCAGTTAATTTCCTACCATAATAGGTGAAATTGTTCATGGTCAATTAAAATTTTGGTTTGCTATGAAAAAACCCAGCACAGTTGCTAACATCCAATAGGGAGTTATTAGCTCAGTATGATGCACAAAAACACTCACCAGTGCAAAATATAGCTTCTAAACAGCCACAAGGGACTGCATTATTTTATTGCAAATCAAGTACTTACCTTATGCTGGTTCAAGTGAACATGGTATCACTTTTAATTTGAAAGTATTGACGTGGATAATTGTTGTATTTTTCTTTTTTTTCTATAATTCAGTTTTGCATTGTTATATGCATACATGCTTTTGCACATCCATTAATCAAGTCAAGTTTACTCATATAGCACCTTTAAACACAGCTTAAACTGACCGAAGTGTTGCACAAAAGAAAATTAAAATATACAACACAAACACAAAGAGAAAACATAACCTCGACAACAATAAACGACAAGAGACAAAATGCAGAATTATAGACTGGACAACCAACTAACCAATTAAAATATTAGTGAGCTAAAAAGGTGAGTAAAAATGGGCCATTAGCTTAGATTTAAAAGTTGGAGGGGGGCATGTCTAATATCTGCAGCAACAGTAGTACAATAGTTCCACAAATGTAGAGCAGCAACTGCAAAATCTCCTTCCCCTTTTAGTTTTAGTCGTGACAGTGGGACATTAGTTGTAGACATTGTTAGTGAAAACAGGTGCTGCTTCCTATGCAGATGTAAATTTAAGAGATATTGAGGAACTAAATTCAGACAGCGTAGAGCTCTTGCAGCTGTAACACGACTCACATCAAGGCTGACATCCCAGTCAGATTCTCCTGCTACCACCAAGACGTTTCTTTTTCATGAATTTATAACTTGTCTTTACACCCTGTCTGATCGCTTCACTTGGAAAGCTGAACTAAAACAACTGACATCAGTGTGTTTCTCTCTTCACTGTTGTCTGAGTCACTTCTTTAAATTCCTAGCTAGCATGAAGTTTATGATGCAGAGTTTTAATGCACAAAGATACAGAATATTGAATTCAAACAGTATAGTGATAAGACGAGTCTCCTCTGTTCCCTTTCTCTTGATGATTTTTTGGGTAAAATATGCGCATTGAAAATGTCTCTGCACGAACGTCACCAAGAATCTTTTTTATACTTTATACTGATTAATTCTCATCTCTTAAATAGAAACTGTGTATCAAAAAGCCCGGATTAAACTCACCTCCCCCTCCCATGCCCTGCAGGACATCACCAGCCTGCTCCACACCATCTATGAGGTCGTGGATGCCTCCGTCAACCATTCTCCCAGCAGCAGCAAGACACTGAGGGTCAAGCTCTCGGTGGCTCCCGACTCCAGCCAGCGGTGGAGGAGTTGCACGCAGGGCGCGGCAGGTAAAGCTCACATTAACAACAGTGGGTGCGGGCGGAGGGGAAGAGAGGGCATTTTGGGGTCCCCCCTTGAGTTGCCTGCTGTCAGCTCACCCAGAGATGTGTTTGTTGTCATGCAGAAATGCGTCTGCTTCAGGCCTGTCAGAGCTTTGTTCCTCGCAGTCTCGGCGTCGCTCCATCTCTCCCACTCAATGGGGTTCATTTTTAATGATGGGGGGAGTGACAACGCTAAGAGAGGGCCCCCTCCCTCAGCGCCTTCAGATACTCTGAAAGAAACCTTAAGAGATGCGCCGAGTCCTTTTTGATAACCACAGCCATTTTTCTTTTCTCCAAAGTTCCCTTTTTTCCCCTCTCTTCCTCCCCCCTTCTCAGAGCTGCCGGGAAAATATAGCTACGTTCAACTTAACTTTTCTCACTGACGACTTGGTAAACAAGTAGTCAGGGAAAAAATATCTCAAAAAAGTATATATTCCTGTGTGTTCGTGTCCTATTGTTTCAGCTATAAATATCCGTCAAGAGATTCAAACAGAGCAAGCTTTGAAAATATCGCCGGTTGCCTTCATGCTAATTTGAAAGTGCATCAGATCTCGCGTCCTTAATAAACTATTTCTGAAGTCTGCATGTTTTTTTTATTTCATTCCATGCCTTATAAGAGGCTGGGTGTTGAAAATAGAATAAATGAAGCATTGTTGTTTTTCCTTTTCTATAGATCTTCAAAGTAAAACCCCCGAAAACAAAGGTTGCTTTCTTCTGAGGCTTGTGTGACTGTTGTCGTTGTGTGTGTGTGTGTGTGTGTGTGTCGTGCGCTGCTCTGTGTAGCTCTCTTTGATAATAGCCTACTGTCTTTCACACATACACAGACATGTCCCACCCCAGGGAGAAAAATGACAAGTGCATAGAAGACCCCAAGAGTGCAGACAAGAAGACTCGAGCACTCCTAAGGTAAACCCATTTCTTCTGCATACTTCAGTCTCTATTGTTAAAGCTTGTGGTGTCTACTAGAAGAAGAAGAAGAAGAAAGTTTATTAGGATATTGTTGACTGATCATCCACTTTTAAAAGAGAAGACGGGAGACTAGCAGTGGCCAAATGTACCTCCACTGTACAGAGGAGGACTTAACAGTGGAGGAGAGAGTCCGCCCTCTTAATGCATTTTTCAGATACTCCCATTTGAGTTTTAAACCTGTGATTTTCCAGTCACAATCTCACTTCTCTAACAATTACTCTGCCCCTGTCTGATCATAAGGAGCACTTGTTTTACTTTCTCCAAACACTACCATACTGAACCTCTCTGGCCCAAACTGCTACGTAATGAGAGGTGCCGCTTGTGTCCACAGGCGCCACCACAGTGACCACCACACCCAGCCGGGCTGCCAGCGCCACTGTGTGGATGAGAACCTGGAACGCAGGAACCACTACTTGGACCTGGCAGGCATCGAAAACTACACATCCCGCTTCGGAGCCGGTGAGTGGACCGGGGCCAGGGGTGTAGAGGGGGAGAGGTGAGGGAGAAACACAGCCGTGGCCCTTTGAAGCTGCATCCAGGGGCCCTCATTACTGCGGCACCTGCTTGGAGCCATTAGGTGGAACTAGCAGCCCACTGTGCTCCTCGCCAGTACAAACATCTGGGCTCAGGCAAGCACAATACATCAAGTGTTCAAGGCTGAAGCACATCAACAGAACGGGCTGTTGTGAAGTGAAATATTAGGTCTAATGAGCAGAAGCCTTGATCTGATGGTCAGTGATGACATGTGATTATTTTAATGTTGGTCCTGTTAGGAAAGTGCTAACAGAGATCTGCTCTATGACACATTGTGTCAGGGTTATCCGCATGAAGAAAGAACCTGAAGTAAAGCTGCCAGAATCTTATCGTGGAGCCTTTTAGTGGATCTTTATTAGTGATCTGTTGGCACAATAATTTGCACATAATGGGATGTTTTTCTGCCCTTTTTTTGTTGCAGGGTTTTGAGATTCCAAGTCATTCATTCCGACATTGTCCAGTCCTGTGATGGTTTTTAATGCAACCTGGAAGTTTGTCATTGTTGCTGCTTTCTCAGTTCAAATACATTTGTGTGTCTGTCTGCCTCACAGCTCCCACCACAGAGCCCACGAAGGCCGAGCCTCAGACCCGCTCATCCAACCAGACTCGCTCTCGCTCCCACGAACCGGAAAATGGCCACTCCCATTACCACCACCGCCGCTTGCAGACTGTTGTGGACGCTGTTGCTGCAGACAGCCTCCATCCCGCCCCCCGTACGCGAGGCCAGGACTCAGGGAAACACGCCCTCCGATCCCCTAAGACCCACAGCCGCACACCTCCTGCGCAGATCAGTGGCAGGGTGATGAGAAGCCGAGGTGCACCTCCTCCCCCGGCGCTACCGAGCCAGATCCCCCCTCACCAGTCCACAGCCCCCTACCGCAAGCACAAGCAGCGGTCCAAGGAAAGCCAGGGCTACAGGGCCCTAGGTTCTCTGGCAGCTCCAGGACCAGTGGTAGAGAAAGAGCACGTGAGGGACCTGCCTAGCGTGCTGCTGTACGAGGGGGGGCTGGCACAAGTGGTGCAGCGGCATGAGCATCACCACCACCATGAACACCATCACCACTACCACCACTTTTACCAGTCCTGAATTCTCACTTTGCCTGGGACAACTCCTGCAGCCCCATAAACCCCAGCCAGGCCAGCAGACACTGCCGGGCTGCCTTACAGTGTGCAGTGCTGCAGTGGCTTTGTAGTGGACATAGGACATGGGTAGGAGAGGAGGATCTTGGGAGGGGTGTCCCAGTGCTGGGAGGTTATTAATCAGTGTTATAAAGAGGTTGGTCAGACATACAAAAGCTCGGGTATGCAGCAGGACAGTACGGCCATGACTGAGGATCACGGCTGGGGCTAGAGAGGAGGCACAGAGGGACAATTAAATTAACAACCCACACGTTCCTCTCCCCCCTGACCCTGTAATCCTCTACCTGATGAACTCTACGGCTCCAAACCAGCACCGCAACCTTTCCAGACCACTAAGCCAAAAGGTTTTTAAGGAAAAGGAGGGACGAGAGGAAGGAAGACTGTGATGTAAAGATGAAAATATATGAAGGAATATAGGTGACAGGAGAGCAGGGCATAGTGTGTATGTGTTTTGTGTGCGTGTGTGTAAAACCATGTGTGAATGTGTGGGCGCAGCAAGAGTGTGTGTATAAGTGTGTGTGTGTGTGAGTGTCACGACACTGGTGTCTGTTGAAAACCACTTGAAGTGCGCTCATGGGTGCGTGAGTATTTAAAGCAGGCTGTCAGGCAGGTTTTTGAAGATGAAAATGAAGATTCTGATTCAAGCACGCAATACCCCGTAAGCAAAAATCG